GGTCCCTGCCCTCTGCTGCCAGCCTTCGGACAGCCACGCTGGCCCGTTGGCTCGTCCCTCTGGGTCCCCGTGGCTGACAGCCCCTGGGTCCTGCTCTGAAGGAGCCTCCTTCTCTTGCAGGAAGCCGCAGCAGAGCCCCAGGCAGCTGCACCGCTGCATGAGAGAGCAGCGAGAGGAGGCCAGGCCTATCCTGTGAGCGCGGCATCCACAGGCAAGGCCACACGCTGGGCGCCGGGGCCAGGCCTGCCACTGCTTCCCCGCCCCGCCTGGGGCAGGACTTTGACCCACCACTCGTCAGTCGCTACCCCTCTCGCTTGGAAAGCGCCCAGGCTGTCACCCTACACCCCGAGGCGGCTCAAACACACCCTGAAAAGACCCCAGCACCCTCTGGGACTGGACCCCGGGGACAGGATGGGCTCCTGGCCCGGCTCCCAGCAACTTGCGCAAGGCGAGTCAGCAGGCTGGCCCCATGCCCCCAGGGAGTGTGGGGAGCTGCTCCCGCAGGGTGGCAGGAGGAAGTAAAGCCCCACCTTGGCTGTGATTCAGGAGCGAGACGGTTGTGACAGTTTAAGGCTCTTTTCCCAGAAAGATCAATCTCAGACTGCCCTTACCTAGGCAGACTCTGGGAGAGTTAAACTGTAACTTGCTTTCCCCACTGGGCCAGCCGGGGCTCCTCCAGCAAACGGCTCAGGGCAGCACCCGTCAGACAAGGTGGAGGAGGTTGGCCTCCTTTCTGGGACCAGCTTTGGAGGGCGCTTCCCCTCTCGGCGCTTCCCCCGGTCTGGAGAGGGGCGTCCTGCAACCCCGGGGAAGCCCATCGCAGCCGCAGCCTCTCCCCTTCGTTTCCTTTCCTAGCTCGGAGGGAAGAGCTTTGGGAAACTCCCAGCGTGTCCCCTCCTGCGCCACCAGGGCCTGGCCCAATAAACCTTCCCTCGCTGTGTCGGGTGGGTGGCATCTCTGCTCTAGGTGCGTGGGGAGGCCGCTGTGTTCTCAGTGGAAAACATCCCTGCCCGGGAGGCCGCTGAGGCCTCTAGCCCGTGCCAGGGCGGCGTTGCCAGCGCTGCGGAGACTGAGCGGACACCGGAGCTGGCAGAGCGGGAGGGGGGAGTGGTCTGGGCGCTGCCCCCGGACAGAGAGCCAGGCCCTGCAGGCTAACGAGGTGCCCAGGGCAGAGGGCAATGCCGGCCGCAGGGAAGGCACCAGGCGAGGGGGGTCTCTTTCTCAGCCTCCCTCTCTCAGGCCCGTGCCCGGTTTGGGCAAATAAATCACGCTGGGTACTGGAGCAGCGCGAGGTGCCCAGGGCAGAGGGCAATGCCGGCCGCAGGGAAGGCACCAGGCGAGGGGGGTCTCTTTCTCAGCCTCCCTCTCTCAGGCCCGTGCCCGGTTTGGGCAAATAAATCACGCTGGGTACTGGAGCAGCGTGCCTGTGATCCTTGCAAGCGTCCGCGCCGACCCGGGCAGAGCAGGCAGGCAGGGTCCGGCCTGGCTGGAGCTGCCCGCGGAGGGGGCGGGGCTCCCGTGGGCCCGAGGGGAAGCAGCCCA